CTCGCACATCGCATAGCACGAGCATCGCAAGCTTCGTGCCATGCGTGTGTGTGCTATGGATGTGCGTGGATTACTAGCATAGCAGCACCAGCCATCGCAGCATGCTGGGCATCGCACAACACAGCTCGCAGCATCGCAAGCTATGCGTGCGTGTGTTGTGGTTGTGCGTGCTTGCTAGCATAGCAGCACCAGCCACAAGCAAGCAGCAGCTGGGCCTCGCTAGCAAATGTCACAGCACACGCAGCATAGCAGCCCGCATTGCATGCGGGTGTGAGTTGGCTAGTCAGCCCAGCCTTGGTGCTAGGCGCCAGCTGGGCAGTCAGCCAGTTGTGCGTGAGGGGCCAGCTCATGGTCATTAGGAAGGGACCGGTCATGGGGTTGCTTGGGGAGCAAGGGGGTTTTGTCCCCCCCCCCTTTAGTGGTCCTCACCTACTCTTGCTCACTATTTGCCACTTGGCGCTTGTTGATTCATTTTACATTTTAATTTGTTTTTAGATTAAAATAAATTGGGAAAATTACAATTCTCCCACATTGATGGGGAATGGGAAATCAAGGCTCCCTTCCCTATAAATGCCCAAGTTTTGGGTTTGGGAAAAAGCACTTGAGTTGAACTCAATAAGGCATCTCCTTGAAAGTGAGAAAACCTTTAAGTTCGTAATACTCTAGTTTTTCTTTAGTCTAGCCCCGACTAACCTTCGGGGTAGAGACCGCTCGGGTCGGGTCAAGGGTGCGAGCCGTCGAAGGCCTATGCACTTGCGTGGCTACAGCTTTCAAGTAAGAGCTTGTAAGCGAGCGAAGCACGCGTCGAGGGTAAGAATATCTTTTCTCTTTCTCTCTCTTTGTTGTTTAAATTTTGTGATTGCATGTTTAGTTACCTTTATTAGTGTGCGGGTCTTGGGCGGGTTTCATTTCGCGTAGTGTTGGACGCTACGAAACCCAACAGGGATCCTAGACTAACTTTGTGAGAATGGAGTCGCGCCCATTCTTGCATTGCGCTATATTTTTATTTTAAATGGTCATTTGGGACCAAAATGATTTGGTGGATTAGACAACCTCATCTATTGCTTACTCTAATTAATTAAATTAGAAATAAAGAATCAAGTGGATTGGAAATAGTTAGTGAGTATGTTGAGTTGATTAAACTATTTTGGTGTGGAGTCTTGGTTAATGACTTTATGTTGAATGTTATTTATTTTAATTAGTTGAGCATGCTAAGTTGGTGCGCTGTAGCTTGTATCTACTCAACTTTGCTGATTGCGTGCTTTTGTGTGTTTTCTTTTGGTCATGGTCTTCGTCTTTCAATGACCCTGTGATGATCTAATTATTACACTTGTATTATTAGGGAGTAGTATTGCATAGGTTAGCTTGATGATGTGTAGTTCAGGGATTTGGCATACGCATTGTCAAGGGATTAGTGTGATTGAGAGTATTTGTTCTTTATGTTGAACTTATTTATGTTTTGTTATTCATTTATGATTTGGGTTTTAGATATTGGTTTGTTTTTAAATAAGGGTCTTTATGGTTCTAGTTTGTAAGCTTTGACTTTTTGGTTTCTAAACTTTGTTATTTTAAAGACTTAAGTTTGGTTTTTCTGCTGCGATACTTTGATAAAGCCGTAACGTTTTAACATGTGGCGATAACATGTCAATAGTTCTCTTCTATTTTATTTAAAGTAAGTGGTTTGGAAAAGGGAGAATTATTGGGGTTTTACAAAGTGGTATCTTGAAGGTTAGGTTAGATTTTAATTACCACTAAAGCCAATTTTTTTAAAAAAGTTTTTAGGCGCCTAACGTTTTAAATCTAATGAGTTCTATTTAACTACTTTATTAAAGTTAGCTTAAGTTTTTGAAATTTATTTTAGTCTAATATATTTATTTCGGCTTTTAAAAAAAATTAAAAATGTATTTATTTGTTATATATGTTCTCAAGTTATTTATTTATTTTGAAATAAAATGAATTCAATTATTTATTTATTCTTTGAACTTGTTTGCTTATTTATTTTATCGGTGAGATTTGGATAGCTTTAGGAAGGGCGTATAGGATATATATGCATTGTTATTAATTCTTTTGTGCTTTTATTTTTATATGAAATGATTATGCAAGTTATTTAAATTTATGTGTTTTACGTAATGGTGCAAACTTGAGTGTGATCACCTAGTATCATGTTTAAGGATTAAAGCATGTAATATGGAAGTATATGTGATGATTTGTGTTATGTGATATGTGATATGTGTGAATGATCATTATGTGAAGCATGTAATTATGTGACTAGTAAATATGTTTATTTAATTATGTTATTTACTTAATGCTTGGATTTTGGTGGGGATTGAATCAAGAGAATTATTTTATTTAATTTTCTTGTGCGTAGGAATGATTAAAATTTAATAATCAAACCTTTAAAAGTGACTTTTTAGGGGCGATCGTACGTGTGGCCTTGTCCACCTTTCTATCTTAATATATTTTATGATCATGAATGTGGTGTGTTGTGCAAGTAGAGTACTTTTGTGTCGACGTTAGCCTAAGAGTGCGTTATACTTCCAGGCAGAGAAGGAGGATGGCTAACAACGATGCTTTAGCTAATGCTTCTAGGCTACTAGCTGAGAACTTGAACCAAAACCACAATGATAAACCTAATCTCGCGGATGAGAAGTTTAAGAAACTTGCTCAGGTTAAGCCACCATACATTAAAGGAGGTGGAGACCCAACTTTTCTAGAAAATTAGGTTAGGGAGTTTGATAAGATCTTTGCTGCTTTGAATTGCCCTGAGAATATGAGAATGGACCAAGCTGCCATGTATTTGAAGGATGAGGCAAATATTTGGTGGAGGGATAATTGAGATGTGTTTCGTAATAAGGCTAATTTTGATTGAGAGGCTTTCAAAACCAAATCTAATGCCAATCCATTCCTAAGAGAGATTGTATTGATTGATTGGCTACTTATAAAGCTAAGATTGATTGTGAGATACCGAAGTTTTATTTAAGGAGTCCTTTGGGGAAGACTGTGTCTTACAAAAGTTTTGGGAAACCAAAAGGTATTGGGATTATTTCTGCAATGAAGTTGTCGAAACTTGTAAGTAAAGGGTATCCTTTGTTCTTTTGTTGTGTGCAAGACTAACAAATGAATAATAAGGTGCATGTGGAAGATGTGTCAATTGTGAATGAGTTTTTGGATGTATTTCTTGAAGAGAATTCTGGGATGCCACCAAAGAGGGAAATGGAGTTTACAATAGATTTGGTTCCTAGAACAACACCGATTTCTAAGGCACCATATAGAATGACACCTACTGAGATTGGGGAGTTGAAAGTGCAATTGCAAGAATTTTTGGATAAAGGGTATATTAGGCCAAGTGCATCTCCTCGGGGAGCACCTGTTTCGTTTGTGAAGAAGAAAGATGGGAGCATGAGGTTGTGCATTGATTATAGGGAATTGAATAATGTGACGATAAAGAATAAGTACCCACTGCCCAGGATCGATGATTTGTTTGATCAATTGAAGAGAGCTAGTGTGTTCTCCAAGATTGATTTACGTTTGGGGTACCATCAACTAAGAGTTTCTGATAAGGATATACCTAAGACTGCTTTTAGGACTAGATATGGGCACTATGAGTTTACAGTTATGCCTTTTGGGTTGACCAATGCACCTGCAATCTTTATGAATTTGATGAACCGAGTATTCCATGAGTATTTGGATAAGTTTGTGGTTGTTTTTATAGATGATATTTTGGTATACTCGAGAAGTGAGGAAGAACATAATGAGCATTTGAGGACTGTGTTGAGAACCCTTAGAGACAATTAGTTGTATGCTAAGTTTTCGATGTACAAGTTATGGTTAGAGAAGGTTGCATTTTTAGGACATTATGTGTCTAAGGAAGGTGTTTTTGTGGATCCAGCAAAGGTTTAAGCAGTGAGTGAGTGGCCTAAGCAAAAGAATGTGTTTGACATAAGGAGTTTCTTAGGACTAACTGGCTATTACAGAAGGTTTGTGAAGGATTTTTCGAAGATTGCTAGACCATTAACTTGATGAAGAAAGAAAGTAAGTTTGAATGGGATGAAAAGTGTGAACAAGCCTTTCAAACTCTTAAAGAGCGTTTAACCACCACACCTGTTTTAGCCTTACTTGATGAGAGTCATGGGTTTGAAGTTTATAGTGATACTTCAAAGAATGGATTAGGGTGTGTGTTGCAACAAAATGGGAAGGTGATAGCTTATGCTTCTCGCCAACTCAAATCTTATGAGGTTAATTACCCTACACATGATCTTGAGCTTGTGGCTATAGTATTTCCATTGAAGATTTGGAGACATTATTTGTATGGAGTAAGGTGTAAGATCTTTATGAATCACAAGAGTCTCAAGTGTATTTCCACTCAGACAAATCTTAATATGAGACAGAGGCGTTGATTGGAGTTGTTCGGTGACTATGACGTAAACATACAGTACCAAGAAGGGAAAGCAAATGTTGTTGCGGATGCCTTGAGTAGGAAATCAAGTCATGGTGTGAATGCTTTAATCGTGCCTGACGAGTTATGTGAAGATATGAAGCGTTTGAATTTGGAGGTTGTGAACTATGGTGAAGTAGGAGCAAGGTTGAGTGCTCTTTCACTTGGGAGTTCATTGTTGGATGAAATAAAAGAGAGCCAAAAAGATGATGAAGAAATCCAATCGATTAAGGAGAAAATGAGCCAAGGGAAGAATGCAGATTTTTAAGATCTATGATGATGGAAGTTTGAGTTACAAAGAAAGATGGTGCATACCAGAAAAGTGTGAGGATTTAAAGAGAAAAATCATGGAAAAAAGCCACAATACTCCATATTCTGTGCAACCGGGAGGGGACAAGTTCTATAAGGACTTGAAAGAGTTATATTGGTGGCCAAACATGAAGAATCAAGTAGCTGAGTTTGTGAGTAAATGCTTGACTTGTCAAAAGGTCAAGATTGATCACAAGAGACCTATGGGAAAGTTCAACCTTTGGAGATTCCATGTTGGAAATGGTATTCGATATCCATGGATTTTGTCACAGGATTTCCTAGAACTAAAAGTGGCAATGACACTATTTGGGTGATTGTAGATCGACTTACAAAGTATGCGGTTTTCATTCCAATAAAGGAAACTTGGAAGAAGATGCAATTGGAAAAGGTCTATGTAAAGAATGTAGTTCGACTACATGGAGTGCCTAAGAACATCATCTCCGATCGAGATTCAAGGTTCTTGTCTAAATTTGGCAAAAGGTTCGAGCTAACTTGGGAACAACATTGAAAATGAGTACTGCATTCCACCCAGCAACGGATGGACAGACAGAAAGGACTAATCAAACCATGGAAGATATGCTAAGGGCGTGTGCCTTGGATTTTCAAGGTACTTGGGAAGATCATTTGGATATTGAGTTTATTCTTACAATAATAGCTACCATGCTAGCATTGGCATGGCTCCTTTTGAAGCATTATATGGTCGAAAGTGTAGAAGTCCTGTATGTTGGAATGATGATAGTGAGAATCTTGTCTTAGGAATAGAGTATATTGAGGAAATGGTGATTAAAGTGAAGTTGATTTGCTCGAGAATTCAAGCTGCACAAGATAGGCAGAAAAGCTATGCCAATTTGAAAAGGCGAGATGATGAGTTTAATGTGGGTGTTAAGTCTTTTTGAAGGTCTCACCTACAAAAGGAGTGATGAGATTTGGAAAGAAGGGAAAATTGAGTGCCAAGTATGTAGGTCCTTATGAAATTTTGGAACGTGTAGGCAAGGTTGCTTACAAATTGGTATTACCTATGGAATTTGAGAAAATGAATGATGTGTTTCATATCTCCCAATTAAAAAAGTATGTTCCTGATTCAAAGCACGTGCTACAACCTATATCGATTCAATTGGATGAAACTTTAACTTATGAGGAAAGGCATGTGAAAATCTTGGATCATAAGGTGTGTAGTACACACAATAAGGATGTTAGGATTGTTAAAGTTCTTTAGCCAAACCAAGAGTATGAAGAGGCTACTTGGGAGGCCGAGGATGATATGAGAAAGAGATACCCTGAGTTGTTTATTGAGGTGAGTTACGAGGGCGTAACTCTTATTCTTTAAGGGGGGTAGAATGCGTATAATTTCGCTCTTTTTGCCCTATTTTATGCTATTTTGTGGTGTTTTCAATGCTTTTCATAGCTATTATATTGTTCATAAATTGGGATGGTGATAAGGTATTAGTGTCGATATTATGACACAATTGGAATTCCAGCAACATGATATTGAAAATTTTGAAATGGGTTTATGCAAATTCTTTGAAATTTAAGGAATTTTGTGCTAAGTTTCGGGACGAAAATTCTTTTAAGAGGGGTAGATTGTAATCCCCCATATTTTTAAATAATTTATAAATGAAAATTTATTTTATGTTTAACATTTATTTGTATTTTTCCCAGATTTTACTTCAAAATTTTCAAATTATTTTAGGGTGGAAATTATTTCATTACAATAGGATTTTTTTATGCACTATTTCCTACAATTCATGATCATAAAAACAAAGCCTAACCCATTTTATTTATTAAATTGACCCATTATTTTCATGAGGCCCAATTTTACTCTATTTACCCTACAACTCTCTCTCCTATAAATACCCATGAATCCCCAAATTTTCCCCCACACAAAAAGGAGTATCTTGTTTAGGTACCAAAAAGAAAGAACTTAGTTTCATGTTTAGAGAACTCCTAGATGGAAATTGTTTGGCTAACCATTGAATTAATGCATGTGCTTATGTTTATGAGACATGTTTTGGTGAATTGAATATGTTTGTATGGAATTATGGATGCAAGCATGTTGAATTATATTGGATTAATTGTTTGTATAGATTGTTGATACAAGCATATTTTATTGGATTGGTTTGATAACCACATTTGGATTGTTGAAGGATTGGAATTTAATGGTTTAAGTGGAATGAATTTACTAATTATTCCGTGAGGTTATTATTATTTTATTTATTACTCAAGCATGACTTGTTAGTATGTTGAGTAAAGGTGGATTAAGCCGAAATGGCTAGTTGGGTTGACCATGTTCAACAATTTTGGATATTTTGGAATTAAAGGTCAATTTGTGATGTGATCATCATTGCCCTAATTAAGATTAAAAGTGAATCTCTATGATTGGTTGTGTAATGTTTAATTTAATGATGAGTTGACTATTAATTAAACTTGTAATCACGTAAAGTGAAATTTGGATGAGCAATAAAACTCTGGAAAGGGTGCACTTCTAGAGTATTGACAATTATAGGTTGGGGGTACACGGTGGTAGCTCGTGGCTTTCCGAGGCTTGTTTGATCAACATGTCCTCTTTTCTTTTAATATTTACATTTTATTATATAATGACAGTTAGATGGAATCCTAGACTAACTTTGTGAGAATGGAGTCGCGTCCATTTTTGCATCGCGCTATATTTTTATTTTAATGGTCATTTGGGACCAAAATGACGTGGTGGATTGGACAACCTCGTCTATTGCTTACTCCAATTAATTAAATTAAATATAAAGAGTCAAGTGGATTGGAATTGGTTTGTGAGTATGTTGAGTTGATTGAACTATTTTGGTGTGGAGTCTTGGTTAATGAATTTCTGTTGAATGTTATTTATTTAAATTAGTTGAGCATGCTAAGTTGGTTCATTGTAGCTTGTATGTACTCAGATTTGTTGATTGTGTGCTTTTGTGTGTTTTCTTTTGGTCATGGTCTTCGTCTTTCAATGACCCTGTGATGATTCAATTATTACACTTGTATTATTAGGGAGCAGTATTGCATAGGTTAGCTTGATGATGTGAAGTTCAGGGGATTGGCATACGCATTGTCAAGGGATTATTGTGATTGAGAGTATTCGTTCTTTGTGTTGAACTTATTTATGTTTTGTTATTCATTTATGATTTGGGTTTTAAATATTAGTTTGTTTTTAAATAAGGGCCTTTATGGTTCCACTTTGTAAGCTATGACTTATTGGTTTTCTAAACTTTGTTATTTTAAAGACTTAAGTTTGATTTTTCCGCTGCGATACTTTGATAAAACCTTAACGTTTTAACACGTGGCGGTAACATGTCAATAGTTCTCCTCTATTTTGTTTAGGAAAAATGGAAATAAATAATCCCACCTTTGTGTGGTCTGACAATAACAATCCCACCTTTTGATTATTACGAGACAATCCCACCATCGTATATCATCTTCTTTTAATGAACCTTGACTTGTTGGTCTGATTTTTGTAGGTTATATGCCACATGTTAAATTTTAATTGGTTCATTTCCTTTTTTTTTTTAAAAAAAAAAACTACAACCACCTACCCAGCACCGTCAAGCCCTAGCCCCACCCCAGCCACCACCAAAATCGGCCGACTGCCCTCCTTAACCTTCGAAAATGGCCGGTCGGCACCCACTCACCAGAGAAACGGTGTTGTGTCGCAGGTTTCGGCGGGTTTAAGGGAGATTTTCGGGGTGGTTAGGGAGGTTGGGTGGGGTTTTCGGTGCTGGGATGGAGGTTTCGGGGGTTTTCGGCGGTTAGAGGGGGGTTTCTGGCAATTGTGATGGTTTTAAGGGTGGTGGCTGTGGTGGTTATGGTGGTTTTGGGGGTAGGATTTGGGTCAGGGGTTGAATTCGGGGGTTTAGGGTGGTGGTTGGCCGGTTGTTCCTGGGGCTTAGGATAAGGATTAGGGTTCACGGTGGTTGGGGTGGCTAGTGGTTGGTGGGTTTTTTTTTTAATTTTTTTTTTTAAATTTTTTTACCTGTTTTTGTTTTTGTTTTTTTTTAAACTTTTTATTTTGACCAATTATTGCACGACACGTGGCTTAAAAAGAATATTTTAACCTGTTTAATAGGTTGTAGGTAAAAAGGTTTGTTAAAAGAAGATGACATACAAAGGTGGGATTACCTCGTAATAATCAAAAGGTGGGATTGTTATTATCAAACCACGCAAATGTGGGATTATTTATTTCCATTTTGCCTTTTATTTAAAGTAAATGGTTTGGAAAAGGGAGAATTATTGGGATGTTACATCACTGGTTTTGCCTTTAGTATATAATTAAAGATTGTCTATTAGTAAATAAAAATTGCAAAAAAAAAAAAAAGAAAATAGGCATTGTAACTAATCTAATGATATATTACATAATAATATTTATTCATTTTATAATAGTAAAAAAATTAAGTCAAAGAGAGCATGTGAGGAAGTAATACAAAAGGTGTTGTCGCACGCGCCTGCAGTCTTTTATTTATTTATTTTTTATTTTTATAATAATGATTAAAATGTTTGTGTCTATTAACCATCAGCTGTAATTGTAGCTCTAAACTATTCCTCCTATATTTAACACAAAGATTAGCTGACAAAGTATATACGGAGTAATTAATGTAATTGTGCTATTGATTTTAGTAAAGATATTTTGACAACGGCCAAGGAACGCCCTTATACAATGAACAAAACTGACACACACAAACCAGCCTCTATAAACTTTGACATAAAAGGTGAGCATTATTTTAATGAGAAAAAACAAGTTGCTCACAAGGAGAAACAAATTTGTTTCTTCTGTGGTAGCTTCGGAATTTCACCTGCTAAAAACAAGGTCATTTTTAGAAATTTGCAATGAAATTGAGAAAACGATTTTGATGGATGCTCGACGAAGCTTACGAGAAGCTTCAATGGAGCTCAAGACTGGGCTTTAATGGGGAAATTAATGGAAGAGGACAACACCCTTACCCTTTAGGGTTAACCATGTCATTCTATACTCCATTTGTTCTGAGGGTTTTTGTTTAATTCGACAACAAAGCTGCTAGAAATGATTGCGAAGGAGGAGGAAGAAGGTGATGATGGCGGATGGAGATCGTAAGGAGGAGGAAGAAGATGAAGCTTTTCATTCTCCATTGAAGTCATTTTCCATTGAAGCGTTCTCCACGGAGTTAACGTTGATTTATTTATTTATTAATTTATTTTTTGGCAATTTATTACCAAATAGCCACTAGGATAAACAAATTCGTTTCTCCTTGTGAACAAATAGGGCTTACTCTATATTATTTAGATAAACTTATTCCGTTACTTAACAATTAACCAAAATTTGTATAACTAGTAGAACAACTAACAAGTCAATCTTTCCATAACAAGCCATCAATTATTCGAGGAAAAGAAAAAATTAAAAATCTTTGAAGGGAATCAATAATCCCGAATATCCGAAGCAAATTGTTAAACCCAGCCATGCAATGCATCCCTAAATCTATAAATTATCCATCAATCCGTTGACATTTGACTCTCTCTTAATATACCCACTTGCCATTATCATCTTCATTAGCTGTAGTCGTTGAAGCTTTAAAATATCGCAATACTCACGTCCGTACTAGGACCCACTTTCCCTCCTTCCTCCTCTAATACAAAAACTCTCGCAAATCCCACTTTTCTTTCACAAACCGCTGAAAAAAAACAGAGTTTGTGAAGTGGGGTTTTTTTGTCTTTGATTAATTTACAAAAGGTGTTTGATCAATGGAGTTGCAAAACGTTGGAATTGTGAGTTGTGGGAAGTGGATTAAGCGCCCAGAAAAAGCTAATTTGGTGGTTTTGGGAAAATTTTATAAATCATCTTCTGCAAAATCAAAGCTTGAGATTTTCTCCTTTGATTCTAAGACCCTTTCTCTCTCTTCTTCTCCTTTGGTATGATTCGGTATTTTATTTTAATTCTTTAATTTTAATTTTTGATGATGATCATAATTATTCTGAAATTCAATTTTGGGTTGTTTATTCAGGCTGAATATGAAATTGAAGATGGAGAGCCAATTAGCATTGCGGTGCACCCAAATGGGGATCAAATCATTTGTGCTACTTCTTCTGGTGATTGCAAGTATTGTCTATAATCTTTTCTTTTTATTGTCAACCCTTTCAATTTCAGTTTTAGCTATAATTTGTTGGTTTGATGCATTGAAGGTTAATTGGTAATAGATGGAACAGGGTTTGAATCCGTCTTCGTTGCAAACTCGTAGAAATTGTACTTGAACTACTTTTATTCATTACTCATTAGTATTTTGGGGACTTATTTGTTCTAAATGTATGATATGCTATATTTGTTTGAATATTGTTGAAGCGGAATTTATCTTGGTTGACCATGAATGTGAGAGTAATTCATTTTAGTGTGTTAGCTGTTGTAGGGAAGTGGGCCTTCTTTTTGGGGGGTAGTAGGGGGTTATTAGGATAGGGAAGTGGGCGTATAGTCTATATATATATATATAAAGATATCAAAGGAAGTTTGCTAATTTAGCTGGTATGTAAGATGGAGGGGAGAGATATTGGACTCAAACCAAAAGGAGATGGAAGAAGGGAAGACAGTAAGAATTAGAAGACAATTGAGAGAAGATCCCTTATTCAATAATTTGCAGTAGTAAGTAAATTTTATTCGGAGGTTTGGTTGCATAATTGTTGTGTTTGATTAGGATAGGCCGTTAGTACTATTAAGTCCTGTGCAGAGCATGCTCATACTCAAGATTAGTGATTTTGTTTGAAAGTCTTGTGGATTTAGTAATATAAAGTGCCGTTGAATCTATAAAAAAATCTGGCAAGATGAAGCTTTCGAAATCTCCAATTAGCCCTGAGATTGTAAATTTTTTTAGTTTACTGATCCTATTTTCTATACATATAGAGCAGGAGTGGCGCAAGGCCTTTCAGACAGACCCATGCTTGATATTATCTTCTTAAATTATTTTGATCCTTGGTCTTGCCCTACAAATCAATCTTACTCAAAAGTGATAGCAAATACATGTAAGTGGGCATAATGGTTTGAACTTCATCAACAAAAGTCAGCTTGCTCAAAGCACTAGTCTGCTTTTTGCAATGAGTAAATGGACCTGATTTTTCTCCACATAGTTCTTTCCTGATATGATTTTCATTGAATAAAATCCTGGCGTTGCCAATTTTGTTATGTCTAACTACCCTTTAAGCTTTTTTCTTGTTTTCCTCCTGTAATTTTTGTTTAAGAAACATCTTGCACATCAGATTTTGTGCATTTTCTTTCTATCCAAATTTCCAAGTAGATCATTACATTTGTTATGTTTCCTTTACATCTTCCATGATATGCTTTTAGACTCAGATTTTCAATTGTAGAGGCCATGCCATTGTAAGTTTGTTCTGTGTGGAAAGTAACTTAATTTATCCTTGGGGTCAACTGAGTTTCTGAGTGAATGAACTTCCTACGATTTTGTGTTCAACTAGTTGCATTCCATGAATAATACCGAACTTAAGCACTGCAACATATAGCTATTTTAAACTTTTGGTAATAGAGACTTTATGACAGACGATTGCATTGAGAACCCAAATTTTGGTTATTTTGAAGTGTATGCTTATTGCTTGTCTCCTTTAATCCTTTTCCTATCTCTCCTAAGTCTCTCCAATGTGATCCTCTTCAATGAAGACAACAACAACAACAACAATTGAAGCCTTAATCCCAAAGATGGGGTCGGCTATATGAACCAACATTTAATCTCGTGAACTCATCAACCATGATCCTTTCCTTCCATACCCTTCTTACATGCTCCTCCAAACCCAACTTTTTCATGTCCTTCTCAACTTTTTCCATCCATGTCATGTTTGGTCTTCACCAACTTCTTCTAAGATCCCCTTAAACCCTACCCTCTACTTTCCTTATTGATGTGTCTTACATGCCCAAACCAACGCATTCGGTTCTCCCCTATTTTATCCTCAATGTTCACAACTCCAACTTTCCTCCTAATATCTTCATTTCTAATTCTATCCTTTAAGGTGTTCCCACACATCCATCTTAACATACACATCTTTGCTACTTTATCTTCCTAATATGATTGTTTGTGAAAGCGCAACATCCTGACCCATAACAACTCTAGTCTGATAGCCGTCCGATAAAAATTTCCATTTAACTTCAAATGTATGCAACGGTCACACAATACCGAGTTGCCACTCTCCATTTGACCCAACCGGTCTTAATCCTGTGGGTTACATCTTGGTCTCCATTCTTTTGCGTAATTGACCTAAGGTATTTTAAACTACTCATTCATGGGCACCTCCTTACCATCCAAAGTTACTATATCCCCGCTTGACTTCCTCCTAGTGCTAAAACTACATTTTATGTACTTAGTCTTGCTCCGACTTAGTCTAGGCCCCCAAGATTCTACATTCTGTCTGTGTTGCTCCAATTTGGAGCCTCTTTAAAGACAACAAGGTAATGCTGATGTTGTATTTCAAGATGTGAAGGTATAAACTTTTGAGGATAATTTGAAAGGTTTAAAACTTAGTATGGTAATGCTAGACAATCAAGCCAATCAAGGTCTCAAAAATAATACTAAGGATTAGTAAAGAAAGATTTATCTGGTTAGTAGATGGAGCTATTCAAAGTGGATGCGAAGGAAGACTTTTGATGTGGTACTCTATAATTCAAATCATTTACAAATCAGTTGATTCTCAAGCCTCCTTTGATTCATATCGAAAGTAAGTTTTTTGAAAAGAAGAATGACATACCAGTTAGTACATGAAACAAAATATCCTGACAAAAAAAGAATGGCAAAAGCTTAGGGCTTTAGTTTACCCCTCTCCCCCAAATGTTTGCATACAATGAAGTAGATTTTAACTAATACTCAATATAATTCTCTGTATTTTATTTTTTAACCAAATAGTATAATTTATTACCATGTCCAAAAGAGCATACTATGATTTGTAATTATCCCATCAAAACCAAGTGTACATTTGCATCCCAAACTTACTAGTTAGGTAACCATGCTTCTTAATGAGAAGTTCTAATGTTTTGTTTTCAAGAACTCTGTCATTGGCCCTTTAACCTTCCACTAAAGACCTTACTCCCCATTGTCAGTAGAAGCTAAACTCTGATATGGAGTATTATGGAGAGCAAGGAATTTTGGGTAATCTGAGCCTGGTTCTCAATCAAATTCATTTTGGACTCCCCCCTCCCCCCCAACACACACACACACAAAACACATAGACATCATCAATTTTTTTGTCCGCATTATCAAATACACCCTTGATTCAAAAATTAAAAAACCCTCCACCTAATCAATGGCCTGATAAGCAGTTAATTTTACTTGGGCTTTAATTTATAATTGTTTACCATGCACATGAAACAGCTTCCATCTATGAGCACTTTAAAAATGCAGTTCAGCTCTTTTTGTTAGTACCTATTTCACTTAATTTTTAAGAAGCATTTTACTTTTTGTGTACAAACTGCAGATTATTTGAATTGTGTGCTCAAGAAACTTCTGTGAAACTGTTGCCTAAAGAGGCACCATCTCTACAAGGTGTTGGACTGCAAACTTGTATAGAGTTTAGCGTTGATGGATGCAAACTTGGTTGTGGTGGAGAGGTAAGATGTTTATGACTCTATGGACTCTGATTTGAAGAAGTGAATGAAAAGGGGCAAGTTTGTGTGGTCTAGTTTTATTGATGCTTGCTTTTCTTCACTCGCTTTTTCCAAGAAAAATAATAAACATGCTGTTCTTTTTCCTTTACTTTAATCCCATATTACCTAATTTACTCTTCTCTCATTCAGGATGGGCATCTAAGAATCTTAGAGTGGCCTAGCTTGCGAATAATTCTTGATGAACCAAATGCTCAAAAGTCCTTTCGGGATATGGATTTCAGGTGACAATAAATTCCATATATATTTAATATCCTTATTTGGTTCTGATTTCCATTCAGAGTGATTAATACTTAGTTGTGCACTTAGAGTAGATTAGTAGATAGATTGTTGTTGGATAAAGGATCCCTGTTTATTTGCCGCCAAATGGTTAGCGGTTACAGTTATTTATGACAATTTTTTTATTTTTTTTTTATTTTTTGGGTCTTTTTAATACTCCTATGAGTGAAGAATAATGCTGTCACCTGTTATCTCCTCGTTCAGATTTTTCAACACTTCCTCTTTTTCCTTTGTCCTCCTTTTCCAATCTGATTAATCATTAAAATGTACGTCAAGCATTGCAAACATGTCAATTGACTGGGGTACTTTAAAAGTTCATAAAGATCTTTAAATTGCTTTAATGGGTAGATATTCATGATGTAAGTTATATATTGTAACTTTTATATACATGGCCACATCAAATATTTATGCTATTGCTATACATTTATGAGAGACCGGGTGTTTCTTTCCGAAGATAACTAGCTTTCAGTTGTGGATATGACCCCAGCGAAGCAGATTCTTATTCTAACAAAGCAAGTGCCTTCAGTAAATCTTAATTGGACACCTTGTTATCTCTCTTCCATGTTTTCATCCTTAACCAGGATAACTTTACAGTTGTCTCTTGTTAGGCTCTTAGCGTTACTGACTACCAACTTCTGGTGCAGTTGTATGAGCTCTTTTTAATTCTATGTCGGTGTGTATTGGATTCTGTTTGTAAAGCTTATTGGAAAACAGGAAAAGTTGGCTTGATTATACGTAGATTTTGAAATATGAGTAATATTTGGCTGCTATGATTTGTCTTATACACCGATTTTTTTACATTACAATCTGGTGTGGTTTTATCATTGAAGCCCCTCTTATAGTTTTATTTGGAACAGTCAATTTAACAATATACTGTTGTCTTTCAGCCTAGACTCTGAGTTCTTAGCCTCAACTTCTACTGATGGTTCAGCAAGAGTTTGGAATGCAAACGATGGAGTAACTGTGGCAACCTTGAAACGAGATTCAGTAGACCACTCGATTTAGTCTTAATTATTCATATGTGCTTACTTTTGATAACTTGGGCTGATGATACGTAACTTTCTTGTGCAGAATGAAAAGATTGAATTATGTTGCTTCTCAAAGGATGGAACTAAACCTTTTCTGTTTTGCACTGTTCAAAGAGGTAAATAAGCTTCTAGGTGATGCTGAGTTATTTACTTTATTGGGAAAAATTTTCTTAAATTATCTGGGGTTGTAAACTAAAATAAAATTCGTCTGAATACAGCTAAGGCTAAGGCTAAACCGATGACTGTTGTTTGGGACATGAGTACTTGGAATAGAATTGGATTTAAGGTACTGCTTGCAAAGCCTGCTTCAGTGTTAACCACCAGCCAAGATGGAAAATATCTTGCCTTGTAAGTACCTAAATTCTAAAGAATTTTCTCACATGCATCTGAGCTCTAATCACATCAAATTGCTGTGCGCTTTCTGTTTTTTCATGTATTAGACCAATTACCATCTGATGGTTTTTACTCTTACTAGTTCTAAGTTTCTAACTCTTCTCAAAATTGATATTGTAGTGTTGTTGCTCTTACTATATCTGTTTGTTGTAGCCTAGTTCCATCTAGCTTTCTGTTGTATGTATGTAACTATGTACAAGTACTTCTTTCAATATGATACTATTTAGGAGGGAGAGATCATTCATGTATGCTTTTAGATTCTGTTTACTTGTCTTAAAGGAAGCATGCTTCAAATCTGTTCCATTCCTGGTAAATATTGATTAGAAAACTACAATATGTCAAAAGCTTATCCTTACAATTTGGAGGCTCTTGGCCTCATTTTAATACAAAAATAGTGTTGCACTGGACATTAATATAGCCCGTCCTCTCCCTCATTAAAATTTGGAGAGCTGAGTCAAAGCAAATAATGCTGAGCAAAAGAGTGATAATCGTAGCAGTATTCTATGTTACTTGGCCTCGGGTGCCCAACTACCCTTGTCCGACACAGGTACATGTCCAAGTGTCTGACTCGGCTATTTTGTGAATTTTTTCCACAAATAAAGTGTCCAAGTGTCCTACTCATGTCCGAGTGTCGAGGGTCCGACATGGGTATTTGAGGTGAAATGAAGAGTGTGAATAACATAGGCAGTATTGTGTGTTCTATTGATTTGTTGACATGCTTGTTTGGGGTTTTAACTAATGATTATCAATTTTTTTCTTTTTTGTCAGGGGAAGTAAAGATGGTGATGTATGTGTAGTTGAAGTAAAAACAATGAGGATCAGTCACTGGAGTAAGAGGTTGCACCCGGGTACATCCATTGCAGCACTGGAGTTTTGTCCCAGTGAAAGGTAACTTAAAGTTCAATGTTTATATATGATCTGCTGTTGTAGTTGCTGATGCCTGATAGTATGATAATTTATGAACGTTTTGCAAATTATGATTTTCTTTGTCCTCTTTCTTGTAAATCTTCAAGTGTATCATCTTAGTAGCTGCATTATAGTTTAGTACCCAGATGAAGAATAGAAAGGGTCATGTAGGCATCAAATAAAAGGAATTTGGTTTAGAGTGTATCTTGGTAAATGTGTGGTAAATTGCTGTGGATGGGTGTAGGAATTGATTCGAATAAAGCTATAGAAATGTCACTTTGAATTTCAAACTTGTCCTTTTTTATTCTTCACAGAAGTAGGCATTGTTATGACATGCTCAAAGCCTTTTCCAACTTGTTCTGAATGTTATTAATTTATTCTTTGCTTACTCAATATGCCAGCCCCTTTTGTTACCCTCACAAACTTGTACTGTTAGTCTGTTATCCATTAAAGATTTTGAAAGATTACAACATGAGGTGTTAACCTGTCTAGTTTCTTGGCCTTGCGACTCTTTGAAATCCCTGTGGGTTCTGCATCCTCTTATTATTGGACTGTCTTTAAACATACATCTTGCACTTTCCATTCAGACTCTTTCTAGTAGGCACTTCCATAATCAACCTTCTAGGATGGTAGAGGGTAGAAATATGTTGGATGTGTGCAGGGAAGTGACAAGAGATGATGGTTAGATTGTGAATTGCCAAAGGTGTTGGAGATTGATATAAAACCATGGATTCGGGGAAGTAAGCCCTTTTGGCCTTATAGAGCTCCTAGAAGAGAGCTTCTGTATAGGCTAGCTTTCTTTAAATCTAGATCTCATGCAATTCCTGCTTGACAAGAGACGTAAAAATGATTTTTTAATAAAAATTCAGAGGCCCGCGAGGAAAGAAAGAAGAGCGACAAGGTTCAGTTCAGATTTGACTGTTTGAACATCAAGAAGAAATTCTGAGGATAAGTTATCTGATGAGTTGCATTGCCAGATATCTGTTAGGCTCTTAGGAGGCAAGGTTTTCACATCTATAGTTGTAAATACATTTAAAGGCCTAATTTAGGAGAAAAAGTTTCTACTGCTATGTACTTTTGATGCTAGAATATGTCATTCTCATTTATAGCTGTAAATACATGCCTTGAAGTTTACCTTGTTCAAATGACCTGATTCTGTTCAGGGGAGTAATAATTGTTTTGATCTTCAACTTGGCTGCCTTGCATTTGTGTTGCTTGTTGAAATGTTTATCTGATATTGTATTGCCAGGGTTGTGCTTACAACTACTAAAGAATGGGGCGCTAAGGTGACACAGCTAACTGTTCCTGTAGAATGGAAAGGTTGACCTTTCTCTCTACAATGCGTTCCCAAGTCTTTCATAAATGGCACTAAGGCGACAGAGCTGACAATCATGTCCCTTTTTTGCAGATTGGCAGATCTATGGACTCCTGTTTGTTATGCTTCTGGTTTCTGCAATAGCCTTTTATATCTTCTATTTGATGTCCGATTCATTTTGGCAGCATCCTGCCACATATCAGCCCTCTACATCACACATCGATCCCCTTCTAGGAGACCCACATTCAGAGGATCCATTTGGGCCACTCGATTTGTGATACTTTCTTAGACTTTCATAGCGTTTTGGGGTGCAAAGGTTGAACCATCTTTTTGCAGTCTTAATTGATGAGGTTACAGTTTACACTGCTCTCCTTACTCTGCAGTTCTAGCAAGGCAAGGTAGCAAAGTTGATAATTTCAGTCTTACGTTTTATTCATTTTTTTTTGTTTTATTTTTTTATTTTATTTTATTTAACTGTCAACTCTTCCATGGGACACCAATGTATTGGTTTCTGAATATTAAAAACTACTTACCTGTAACTCTTAAATATGTATCCAATTTTAGGGGTGGTAATAGGATACATATACAAAATATATTTCTGTTACTTTTGCAAACTTATTAATTTATACAGTATAGTACTTTTGCATCTGTGCTTACCTGCTATTCATACGCCACAAATTTTAAATCATTCATGACATATAACAAGAACTACATTAAGTACATGTTTGGTTCGTAGAAACCGAGGCTAGGAAACAGATACAAATAACCAAATCCGTTATTGACTGTTTGGTTTGATAGTGGATATCTGAATCCGTAAGTTAAATCAGGTGTGAAACGGATACAAATAATAAGATGTTTTTAACTGGGTTTTCCATTTCTCATTCTAGCAAATCCCTATATATATATATATATATATATATATATATATATATATGAGGGATCCAATGAGAATATGTCTATATGTGAGAACCCTATTATATATGAGAACAAATCTCAACCATTGGATACCTTATGATCCAGCTGTTGAGATTGCTCACATAGTAATGGCAAAAATGTGATTTACATTTTTTTTTTGTTTGGCTCATTTTGAGCTATAATTTTCTGTTCGTTTATCAAATGAGCAAATAACTATTCGCTAATTTATCAAATGAGCAACAATTCTTTGTTCATTTATCAATTAAGCAAAAAAAAATAATTTAATTTATTTTTTATTTTTATTTTTTTTCTCATTTATCAAATGAGCAATATTTATTTGTTCATTTATCAAATGAGCAAATAATATTTGTTCATTTGATAAATGAGCAAATAATATTTGCTTATTTGATAAATGAGCAATAATTCTTTGTTCATTTATTAAATGAGCAAATAATATTTCTTTGTTTTGTTTGCTCATTTATTAAATGAGCAACAATTCTTTGTTCATTTATCAAATGAGCAACAATTCTAAAACATTCAAACTAATATGAAACCTTGAACTTATTTACTATATCTGAAAATGTAAACAATTGTTGGACCATAAGAGACCAACCGTATACTAGTTTATATTATGCACTTCATTTTCTGCCTATTTTTGAAGTAGATAGTTCACAAGGTTAATTTAATACATGTTCTGCTCATATCCTTCACAAATGAGCAAACTGAAATTCAGATGAGAAAACTAAATTAAAAATGAGCAAAAACACATACAATAAAAATGCATAAATGAAAATGAACAAACTTATATTAGAATCTCAGAAAATTGCTCCATACTATGATCACATAATACAAACTCATTAAACTGATTTTCGATCGCCGAAATCTTTCAATTTCACCGGAACGCGCGAACATAATCGTCATTGAGTGGAGTTCGAAAATGACATAATTGGTCTGAATTTTGAGCTTGATTTCTTTGTTATTGATATTGCAAAGTTAATAACAATGATGTTAATGGCGATGTTGTTGATGGCGAACATAATCGTCGCCGATTATAGCTCGAAGATGCAATTATCAAACTGAATTCAAGCATAATTTCCATGTTTTTAACGGCGCAAAAATGATAGTGATATGAACATAGTATAAAGACGCTATGGTTGATTAGAAGTTGAGCTTAATTTCTTTGAAATTAAAGGTGTGAAGTTGATGATGTATATTGAACAATAGGTGAGTAGGAGAGAGAAAGACAAGGTGAGGAGAGAGAAAGAATGAAATGTGGAGGTGAAAGAGAAAAATAAGGGAGTTACTCTTTTGGTTTTGATTTTTTAGGGAATAATCATAGCCTTAGATTAAAAAAATTCGAAGGTCTAGATTTATTCTCACATAGGTTGGGGTTCTCACATAAGGGATGTGTTCCCACAGATCCCATATATATATATATATATATATATATATATATATATATATATATATATATATATATATATATATATATATATATATATATATATGGGGGTCAAATAAGAAGGGTCTTATAATGAGAAGAATGAGAAGTAATCTGATGCGTTTAAATAAAATGATCTAATGGCTCTCATTGTATACTTCATTAATGGCAAAAATGTAAATATCTCTTTCCTCACTTTCTTTTCTATTTTCCCCATTCCTCTCCTCCCTCTTCCCTATTTATATCTTTTCCCCAGTTTTTTTCTCTTTCAGTTAAGATGATGCTCTAAAAGGATTACCAAGGGGAATCAAGTAAAAATGAACTTTGTATATGCTTAATTTTTCTGCATTATTCTTGTAAAATTTGTGGATATTTTTCATCTGATTTGTGCATATTTATTGAGTTGAATGTGCAAATTTTTTGTACTAAAGGTGCAATTTTTTTCAATTATATATGCATTTTGCTAGCTGAACATTCTCTAGATGACATCGTCAACCGTTAACCCTTATTATTTGGTTTACAAGTTGTTCATGACCACTATTACTTTCTCATCTCTTACATTATAAGTTAGAACTATGAATAATCTTTAATGGAGGAGAGAGAGAGAGAGAGAGAGAGAGAGAGAGAGAGAGAGAGAGTTCATCACAATGAAGAGGAAAAACAATGGAAAACTGAAAGAGAAACATGAATGTGCATAATTTTTCGAGTTAAACGTTTACAATTTTTGAGTCAAATATGCATAATTTTTAGGAGATAGAAAAAAGAATGTATATGTTATAGAAGAGAGGTGTAGGGGTGGAGAAGAAAAAGTTAAAGATATAATATAAATTCTGGAAAATAAATGTGCATAATTTTCAAACTAATTGTGCATTTTGTTTTGTACTAAACGTGCATAATTTTACAAAGATGAAATTTGAACATTAGATTAATTTACATGGCCAAGATTCCTTCTCATTCTTCTAATTTTAAGACCCTTCTTATTGGATCTCAACCCTATATATATATAGGGTTGAGATTCAATAAGAAAGATCTTATAATGAGAAGGAATCTTGATCGTACATATAAATTCAACAATGCACATTTCACCTACGCAAAATGCACATTTTGCACAAAAATTATGCACGTTTAATACAAAAGTTATGCACATCCGTCTTTTTTACTTTCATTTTCCCTCTTAACTGCAACAAACTCTCTATCTAGGGAAAACGGGAATTCACCAAACCATCGGTAACTACGCAACAAGGAATCATAGAGACAAACGGGATAAGCAAAGACTATATGTCTGATCAATATCGTGTGATAGGAAGACAACGGGCAATACCAAGCTTGGATTTCTCATGCACTTAACATTACTCGATACATAATCAAACCACATTCAATAATGAAATACTCAATTCACAATCTCCTGTTCAAACCAAGAATAACATGCAATCAAATTCAAGACTCTAGGTTAGCTACTCCTATTATAATGAATTAACATGCAATCGCATATAATCAATTTAATCACAATCCGTTTATCAAAATCAAACCTTAATTGCGTAGATTACCTAGGCCGGGTTTCATCCCGAAACCCTAGCTAGGAAACTACTCACACTTATTCATAATCACAACAATAATAGATTCCATAAACATCATAGATCTAAACATAAATTCTGATTAAGGAATAATAAAGCTAGATTAATAAACAAGAATGAATAATATCAATTTTATTGATGCGAATCAATGGAAAAGTTTAGAACTTTGATATCCGTCGTCAATGGATAATACAAAGAATCTTCACAAATCTTGCTTCAAATCAATCCAAGAAAACTAAAATCACTAGAATAATCTTTAAGAAAACTAATGAATCTCTAATACTAAGAACGTTCTCCAATAGCTCTCTACAAAGGCTCTCAAAAACTATCTCTAAAACTGTCTGTAAACGCCCCTTAAAATCAGGCCTTATATACGCCTTCTGATTCGGAGAAGTCAAGTGCGCGGTTAACCCTGGATCAGCACGGCCGTGCTATATTTGGCACGGCCATGCTAGCTTGTCAGTAGCTAAACCGGATTTCTTCTTCAATTTGGCACGGCCGTGCTATATATGGCACGGCCGTCCAGATGCCTGGCACGACCGTGCTGAAAATGACACGGCCATGCTGAATATGCTCTAGCACGGGGCTCATACTGAAGCTGACACGGGCACGGGCAACATCTGGCACGGCCGTGTTAATGGCCTGCACGGCCGTGCTGGTGCGTGGATACTGACACGGTCGTGCTATTGGCTTGCACGGCCGTGCTGCCTAGCCTGGGGCTGCTTGCTCAAAGGCTAGCACGGGTGTGCCTATAGTAACACGGCCGTGCTGCCTGTGCTATGTAATCAATGCACGGCACTTGAACTTCCCTAGCTCCTCGGAATTTGGTCAAGGCTAGCTCGGTTACGCATCAAGGGCTCGGGATCCGACTAAACTCGGTTGATATTACCTGAAAACACATCAAAAACAAACCGAAAACCCGTGAAGCACGTAATATGGGGGACGTAAGCATAACAAGGCAATAATCGGCCAAAACGGCCCCAAATACATCCAAAATCATCCTAAAATATGCTCTAAAGCGCGCCCTAAAGTGCGTTTGTCAACATCCTTCGCAAATTTCAAACGACTCTAAGTCGAATGAGTCAAGAACACCTTCTTGAAGAAGTTTCTTGATGCGTTTGATGTTAGTATGGCTAAGACGACAATGCCACAAGTAGGTTTGATTCAGCTCGATGGTCTTAGTTCATTTGGTATCAATCCTATTGTCTTTGTGTAAAGCATGCAATTTAATTTGAACATATGTTTGCAAGACAATTTTGAAACAACTATTGTCAAAATTTTACAAGCAAAATAACTAGGTGTCCAACACCATGGATCAAAATATTGTTCAAAAGGCATGATAAAACTAGGATTAGTTTTAATTACATCTCAAAGACAAAATAATACATGCAAGCACGACCGAAAAACCTTTTTCGTCATCCTCTTGTCCATGCGCCAATCACTTGATAAGCTTTCTCACTTGGTCCCTAAAAAGGGCAACATAAAGTGAGTCATACTCGGTATCCAATACCTATGATAAGCTTAATTCACAAGTGTTTAGGAAGATACCTGAGGTAGTCGAAATGTTCCCCTTTTCCTCTTCTCGAAAGAGCTTGCATTCTCTCTTGAAGTGGCCTTGACCACCACAATAGAAACAATGCATCTTTGCCTTAACCTTGAAATCCCTCCTTCTTGAT